GAGGCGGCAACGAGGCGGCTACAGGCGGAAACGTGGCGATACCTCGCCAGATCCATCAGAAACGAAAAGGCTCCCAAGAGCAAAGCACTAGTTGGGGGCAAAATTCTTGGAGTGGAGGAGTTGAGTCTGGCCTCGGCACGGGGGGGGTCGCCTCGATCGCTCCTCAAAAGAATGCTGGGCAACCGTGGTGGAACCTATGTGATGCGCGCTGTGTCGCGCAAGCTATGTGGTACAGGCTGCACTGTGCCATCCATGTGGTGCAGGCAAGGATATGGCGCAAGCTGCGCGGTGCGATCTATGCGGGGGCCGTGCGCCTGGTGCAATTGAGGGGGGCACAGACGCAGCCTCACCGACGCGCCGCCGTGGTGCACCCATCAGCGTTCGGCCTTCGGACGAAAACGAAAGGAGCAACCCGCCACCGACAGGCTGCGCGGCGTCGCGCTCCTCGGGCGCGCGCCTCCCCTCGCCCCCCCCCCTTTCCCGCCCTCCCCCTCCATTCCCTCCCCTCCGTGCCCCTCCCCTTCCCTTCCCTTCCCTTCCCTTCCCCTCCCTCCCGTCCTCCCCCCCCCCCTCCCCCCTTCCCTCTCCTCCGTCCCTTCCCTCTCCCTCCCTTCCCTCCCCTCCGCTTGCAAGAAAAGTGTCACCGATACTTCCTCTCCTGGGGAGAGCAAAAAATACCGATACCGCTGCTCCCCAGACCTCTCCTGCGGTGCGTTCTGACCAGGAGTTCGAAGCGAATCCAGCGGTGGTGACGAGGGCCGGCCAGGAGGCCAAAAAAGGGGAGAACGAGCGAAGGGTAGAGGTATGGGTATCTTTTCCTCCTCTGATCTCAGACCCCGAAGTATCAAGACGCCACCCAGCGCACGAGACGGCCACGGGGCGGACACCCTTGGCCACCGGGCGAACCTCTGGCGACGTCCGCCAGCGCGCAGAGCGGCCACGGCGAGGAAACCCAGGGAAAAGCCCAGGCAACGGCAACGCAAAGAGTTGGGCCGCAAGGCAGCCACGGGCGGCCACTGGGCGAAAGGCCTGACAACCCAAACCAACGCACGGGGCGGCCATGAGAGGCCACCGGGCGAAAATCCGGAAAACCCACCCAGTCACCTAACAGCGAAGTAGGGTCCCTCGATCGCCAGGTCGACCCTCTAGGAAAAGGATCCACAACAATTTCCACGGCGGCTGTGAGGGGCCTCAGGAGGCCGTCGAAGAAGCCCCCCAAAACTCCTCCAACAGAGTCCAATGAGCATAAAGCCTCTGGCCAACGACCCATGCGCGGTGGCGGGGTGGGCTGAAAGCAATTATACAGGCGAGCTCGGCCGGAGACCCCACCGCAAACTCGTGACAACGGCGGCGGTCCCGAACGCTGGGTGCACTTCGCGAAACACGGATTCGGCGACGGCAGCCCGCCCAAAGACTGGGGGGCGCAGAGGCTCAGTAGACCTGGTGAAATCCCTCGAATGCAGGCAATGCTTGGGGCGGGACAAAGAGGAGAGCGAGGCCCCACGAACGACGGAGCTCCTACACCGTCTTCACGCTTCTTTTTCCTCATGCTTTTCGCGTCTCCTGCTCCTCCCTCCTTCCCACGTCTTGCTGCTACTCCTCCTGCCTCCTCCTCCTCCTCCTCCTCCTCCTCCTCCTCCTTACCTCCGCCGTCCTCCTCCCCCCTCCCCTCTGCTCCTCCTGCCCGCCAGGAAATGCCTCTATGCTGCCTCCCTTCTCCCGCTCCGCTGCCTCCTTTTCCTTCTCTTCCTGCTCGTTCTCCCCCTCCTCGCATCTCCCTCCCGATCCATCCTCCGCCTCCGAGTCCTCACGCCCACTTGGTGCTCCTTCCTCTTTCTTTCATCCTCCTCGCACGTACCTTCTGTTGTTCCTCCCTCCACAACCTCCTCCTTTGAAGGCGGCCAAGGGGCCTGAGCTGGATGGGCCCCGGGGAAATCTGTCAAGATGGGGAGGGTAAAAGCAAATCCTCGGTCACTGGACCCCTCCGGGTGTCCATCTGGTGCAGATCTCTACCCCATATCCGTTCCTGACGGTCCCTGGGCCCAAAAACTGTCCCCAGAGAGAGAAACAAGCAAAAACCGTCTCGAACCCAGAAGCTCGAACCTTCCCCATCCCTGATTGCCAGAACCAGTGATGGGCCTCACTGGCTCTTGGAAGCGACGAGGCAAGTGCGGATTTCCCACCATCCTGTGGTGTTGGTTCCTCGTTTTGAAGAGACAAAGCCCCGCGTTCTCCTCCTTCCTTCCTTCTTTCCTCCTCCCTCCTCTTCTTCCCTCAGCCCTGCGTTACACCCACCCACTACAGCGCTCCGTAACCACATAAGGAGCCCCACCGAAGGCTCCAGTGGGACCGCCCGCATGCGTCATCCACCAGCCAGTAAAGCGTTTCGTGGCCCCATAGGGGGCTCCACCGAAAGGCCCAGGGGGACCGCCCGCATGTGTGATCCACCACCCAGCTCAGCGCTTCGTGGCCCCATAGGGACCTCCACCGAAGGCCCCAGGGGGACCGCCCGCATGCGTCATCCACCACCCAGCACAACATTTCGTGGCTCCTTGAGGGCTCCACCGAAGGCCCAGTGGGACCGCCCGCATGCGTCATCCACCACAGTGCAGCGCTTCGTGGCCCCATAGGGGGCTCCACCGCAGGCCCCAGTGGGACCGCCCGCATGCGTCATCCACCACCCAGTATATACAGCGCTTCGTGGCCCCATAAAGGGGGCTCCACCGAAGGCCCCAGCAGGACCGCCCGCATGCGTCATCCACCACCCAGTACAGCGCTTCGTGACTCCATAGGGAGCACCACCGAAGGCCCCACTGGGACTGCCCGCGTGTGTTATCCACCACCCAGTACAACGCTTCGTGGCCCCATAAGGAGCCCCACCGAAAGTCCCAGTGGAACCGCCCGCATGCGTCACCCGCCACCCAGTACAGCGCTTCGTGGCCCCATAGAGGGCTCCACCGAAGGCCCCAGTGGGACCGCCCGCATGCGTCATCCACCACCCAGTGCAGCGCTCCGTGGCCCCATAGGGGGCTCCACCGAAGCTCCCACTGGGACCGCCCGCATGCGTCATCCACCACCCAGTACAGCGTTTCGTGTCCCCACAGGGAGCTCCACCTAAGGTCTCCGTGGCGGAACCCGCATGGCGGCCCAGCGGCGGAGTTCGAATGGCGACGGCTTTTGATTTTCGGTGGCTTTTCGTCGTAGTCGATGTATTGAAGCCGCTTTCGGGTCGCGCATCCCGCGCGGGAGCCAGCCTGCTCGCTCTCTCTGCTCCGCGCAGCGGACGACCCGCGCGCGTCGCCGGGACCCCTTCAAGACGACCAGCGCGCGTCGCGGGGACTCCGTGCGGCGCCGCGCCCGCAGCCTTGGACGTGGGCGTGCCCAGGCAAAGAGGGAGAAAAATAACGGGAAGGAAGCGGGCACGATCCTCGTGAGAGGCGTGCCGACATGGGCGTCAACATGTATGCACGTACGCTCACGCGCGAGCGGACTCATCCACAATCAGATTCACTCGCTCTCGGTCTCTCGCACACAGACCTATCGTCTTCGCTCGCGTTGTGTGCCCCGCCACGCATATCGGCACGCCCCTCACACGGTTCGTGGCTTCATAGGGAGCGCGGGCGAAGATTATATTCACAATTGCAGTATTCACTACTGCATATGGTTGGGTCCTTCGCCAGGCTAATTGAATGTATCGCTGTGGTCTCCATCCTCCTTCTCCCTCCTCCAGCATCCGACCTCCCCCTGAAACCCATGCGCTCCCTCGGGAACTGGGAACTTCGCAATCGTCGCCACTCTGGTGGGCTCCTGTGAGGCACGGCGGAGTGCAGTGCAGCGCAGATCACTTCGACTGACGTGACCTCGCGGCTCCCACGGGGGCTGCGAACCGCGCAGCCGTCGCCACTGTCGCGGGCTCCTGGGAGGCCCGGCGGAGTACAGCGCAGATCACTTCGAAGCCTCGCGGCTTCCTCGGGCGCTGCGAATTGCGCAACCTTTGCCACTGTCGTGACCTCGCGGCTCCCTCACAGGCTGCGAGCTGCGCAACCGTCGCCACTGCCGTGGGCTCCTGGGAGGCACGGTGGGAAGCAGGTCGAGGCCTCACCGTTCCCTCGGGGGCCTACGAATCGCGCAACCGTCGCCACTGTCGTGGGCTCCTGGATGCACGGAGGACTGCAAGTCAACGCTCCATCGGGGGCTGCGAACTGCGCAACCGTCGCCAATGTCGTGACCTCGCGGCTCCCCCTGCGAACTGCGCAACCGGAGTGCAGGGCAGCGCAAATGACTTCGAGGCCTCGCCGCTCCTTCGGATTGTCGCGAGCTCCTGGGAGGCATCGTGCAGATCTCGCGATGGGATATGATGCTAAGTGAACCGTTCGTACAAGCAGTCGCCTCGCATGAAAAAACGGTGTGGTACCTCCCGCGCAGTTTCTGGCTCCGGCTCGGGCTTCCCTTTTCAGCGAACTTTTTTGCCGTTTCGGCGAACCTGTTGCGTTTCCCGTTTCGGCGAACCTTTTGCGTTTCCCAGGACCGATTTTCCCGTTTCGGCAAACCTTTTGCGTTTACCGTTTCGTTCTCAAGATCCAGATTTCTGGAAACGGCGGAACAACCTCGCAACCGCTCGGACGACCTTTCTCTGTGCATCTGTCGGTTTCGCGCGTGCGTTTTGTTCGCAAGGTGAACAGACATGCTCCTCGATGGTCCTTGCCGAGAAAAAAAGAAAACGCCCGAGCCATGCCAAGAAGACAGCCCTGCTGTTTCCAAGAACCACTAAGTCCTGGGCCACCTCAGACCTCCTCCTCCTCCTCCTCCCTCCCCCTTCCCCTCCCCCTCCCCCTCCTCCTCTCCTCCTCCTCCTCCTCCTCCTCCTCCTCTTCCTCCTCCTCCTCCTCCTCTTCCTCCTCCTCCTCCTCCTCCCCCTCCCCCTCCTCCTCCTCCTCCTGCTCCTCCTCCTCCTCCTCCTCCTCCTCCTCCTGCTCCTCCTCCTGCCGCCCCGTCCCCACGCTGTGAGGCTCTCCATGACCTTCCTGAACTCCGTGTCCTTCTGCGCGGGAGCCTCGCAGCGTGGCGCGCGGGGGCGGAGCTGCGCCCCCTCGAGGAGGCAGGAGGGAGGAAGAGCAAGGGAGGAGGTGAAAGGTAGAGGAGCTTCGGGAATGGTCTCCAGATTGCGGCAGCAGAAACTACCGCTGGGTGAACCAGATCCCGAGGAAGGAGGAGGAGGAGGAGGAGGAGGAGGAGCACGAGGGGTGCTTTGCGAAGATAGATATGGACAAGCGCGCCCCACGACTCGCAACAAAAACTACTCGCAAACGGCCCAGATCAACCATCGCAGGACGATGCTCACTGGGAGCACCAAAAGGTACCGATACCGCTACTCCCAGGACCTCTCCGAGGATGCGTTCGGTTCAGAATTTCGAGGCGAGGCCAGCGGTGGCGACGAGGGCCTCCCAGGAGGCCGAAAGAGGGGACAACGAGGTAAGGGCAACGGTATCGGTACCTGTTCCTCCTCTGACTCACGTCGCACGCGCACATTCCGAATCTCGAAAGACAGCGCGGCATCCGCTTCGTGATGCGCTAGCACAGCTGGGGAAGACTAAGAGGGGTCGCAAGTGAAGCGGCGCGCGGAGGTAGAGGAGGGCGAGGAGGGCCACGACGTGAAGGAGGACTGAGAAGACCAGGTCCTTAGGAGAGGAGGAGGAGGAGGAGGCGGAGGCGGAGGAGGAGGCGGAGGCGGAGGAGGTGGAATTTGGTCAACGATCCTGCAACACACGTCCGTCCGAAGGGCGCCTCAACGGAAGTCTCCGCAGCTGTCTCTCTCCAGCGCGGGAGGTGCCCCCCTCGGCAACCGAACGCCCCGTGGGCCTGCCATTCAGGCGAGACTCCAGTCTGCAAGGGCTCCGCCTTCGGGAAGGGCTTATCACTGTTCCCTATTAAAATACACCCCCTCCCCCAGGCGACTGGGAGCCAACCAGGGTCAATGCGCCCCCCCCCCCCCACCATCCCCAGTAAAAAACAATACGAAACACACTCTGCCTCCAAATTGGGAGCATGCGCAGCGAACCCGATGCGGCCTCCCCCCACCATCCGTGTCAAAAACAATACAGAGTACACTTGGCGGCGGCGGCTGCGGCGGCTGCGGCGGTGGCGGCGGCGGTGGCGGCGACGGCGGCGGGGGCGGCGGCGGCGGCGGCGGCGGCGGTGGTGGCGGCTGCGCCGGCAGCGGCTGCGGCGGCCGCGAATCGCGGCGGCGGCGGCGGGTTTCGCGAGGTGTCGGAGCGTCCAAAACGGCGTCGGCGAGGAAGCCAAAATCATTGGTTTTACTATGGTTTTGGCCCCATTTGGGCCTCCTGAGGGGATGGCCCTAAAATTAGGGACCCCCCCTCCTGTGAGCGATCTCACCCATGTCTGCACAGATGGAAGACAACTCAAAGAGAAACCACCGCTCGCTTTTGAGAAACATCTGCCGTCCGTCGTCGCAATAGTCACTGTGCACGTTCCACAGACCGTGGTTGCACTTGTGGCTTCCGACTCGTTCTAAAAAAAGAACCGGGCTGGTCTGTCGCCCCAGCCGACTTTTGGCCGCCTCGTCGCCGCCCCGTCGCCACTCGTCGCCGCCGCCTGTCTGGGCTGGTCTCCTGCCCCGGCCAGTTTCTGCTTGCACCACATAGATTGCACCACGTATTTTGTTCCCCGGCCATCATGTGGTGCTCTGTCCTCGTTTTGAGGGGACAGTCCCCGCGTCTCCCCTCCTCTCCTCCTCCACATCTACACAATATGAATGCTACTCTCATCTCTCCCCTGGTGGCGTCCGGGGGATGTCCGGCCCCCCTCCGCGTACTGGTTGTTTACACACACGATACCCGGAAGTTGGGTTTTCGATTTGGTTTTTCCCAACCATCTTGTGGTGTTGGGTCCTCGTTTTGAAGAGACAGCGCCCCGCGTCTCCTCCTTCCTCCTCTCCCTCCTCCTCCTCCCCCTCCTCCCATCCCTTGCCTGTGCCCTCCGCATGTCCTCATGATCGTCATCATCATCATCATCATCATCATCATCATCATCATCATCATCATCATCATCATCGTCATCATCATCATCATCATCAGCATCATCAGCATCAGCATCATCATCATCATCATTGTCATCGTCATCGCCGTCATCATCACCAGCATCGTCACACCCACTACAAAGCTTCGTGGCCCCATAGGGAGCTCCACCGAAGTTCCCAGTGGCCCAGTTCGCATGCGTCTCCCCCACCCAGTATAGCGCGTCGTGGCCCCATGGGGAGCTCCACCGAAGGTCCCCGAGGCGCAGTTCGCATGCGCCCCCCCCGACCCAGCACAGCGTTTCGTGGCCCCACGGGGAGCTCCACCGATAGGAAGCTCCACCGAGGGTCCCAGTGGCGCAGTTCGCACGTCTCCCCCGCCCAGTACAGCGCTTCGTGGCCCCATAGGGAGCTCCACCGATAGGGAGCTCCGCAGAAGGTCCCAGTGGCGCAGTTCGCATGCGTTTCCCCCACAACTACGGGACAACACAAGGGACTTCAACCATGGGCCAACCAACGGAACAACGGTTGGACACTCCGCGGGACAATCCAGGGAAAACCCGCGGGACGACAACCCACTGAGCAGCCCACAAAACAACACGAAGAACAACAAATGGGAAATCCACGTCCCAACCCAAAGGACAAACAACTGCACAGCATACGGGACAAAAACTCGGGAGAAACCCAAAGGATTATCCACAACACAGCCCACGGATCATCCACAGGACAACTCACGAAACAACCACCGGACAATCCACGGCGCAACCCATGGGACACCACGGGACAACCACTGGACAACGGACAACCCACAGAACAACCCGAAGAACAACCACAGGACAACCCACCGGACAACCACGGGAAAATCCACGAAGCAACCCACAAGACAGCCCACAGACCAACCACGGAACACGCCACGGAACACCTTACGGAACAACCCACGGGAGATGGTGCGCAACGATAGGGGGGGACTGGCATAGGGGGGATGCATCGACCTGGAATCGGCGATAAGTCGCGGTGAAAGCAACGAACACGACCGAATTGTTCGCGACCGCCCTGGGTTGTGGAGGGGCTGCTAGATATCCGTTCAGATCATTGAGGAGGGACCAGCCGTCCCGTCAATCCTATAGGCCAACCACGAAACGTCCTAGAACATAATAACGTCCCAAGATCAAAAGCAGTGCTCTTAGAACGCAGATCCGATGAATTGAAACAAGACGGTCTCAGCAAGAAGTGTTCTAAGAACACGTCGCTCAGATCACAACAGGTTCTTAGAACACTCTTTGGTGGGCATATAGGCAGATCAGCACGCTTCCTTTCTGCTTGAGAGAAGTCGGCTGAAATGTCGGCCCATCTTCACCATCTTCGGAACAACTCGGCTGTCATGCTCGGGGAAGTGCGCGGATGTCGGCTAGATATGGTACCCCAGAGATGGTATCTCTTCAACGAACGCAGCAGACGTCGAGAATGCGCAGAAACTCTGTTCCCGTCTTCGAATTCCAACCTTCCACACTGTCGACATGATGTCGGCGACGGTCTGCCATCCAGTCGGGTCCTGAAGCATGATGGCGCGGTGAACCGCGCCCTCAGTTTGACGCTGCGCAAGGGAAAGCCAAGAAATCACTGTCCGTCCCGTGCGTGTTTGAGACATTCGTTCCACTGCGCCTGTCCTCGTGATAAAAAATCATCTGGACGATTTTTGTTTGAACGACTCTCCCCGCTGCACCTTGAACAGCTTCGTGTGGCACTTGTCCAGGAAACTTCGCACATATGCCGCGACGGCAACCAGGTGGCACCTCGTGACCGTCCGCTCCCACGGCCATTTGGCTCGGCGTCGTTGCCCTGCACGCCAGGTCCAGGCTCTTGCTTGCTAGATGAGGGCTCCTGAGCTGCAATATGTATACAGCTCTACTTGGACAGAGAGGATCTGATAAGCGAGCAGTAGAAGGATCGGTCTGGCACTATACCCACATCTCGAATGGCGTCGCCCAACGACAGGGCCTGCTCCCACTGTCCAGCCTTCTCGCACACATCGGCTGCAAGAGAATAAACCGTGACAGTCGGCTCCAACTTCGTACGCCTCGAATCGTGGAGCAGAAACAACGCCCTTTCCCATTCCTGCCCTTCTCCGCACGCGTACATCGCGGTGGCATAACTCACGACGTCTGGTTCCAACACCGCCTCTCCCGCACACCGGAGTAGATATAGTGACCGCTCCCACTGCCCGCCCTTTCCACATGCGTCAATTGCAGTGTTGTAGGTGATAAGGTTCGGCTCCATTTCCGTTCCGCTCATGCAGTTGAGTAACGATAGCGCCTGCTGCCACTGTCCGCCTTCCGCGCACGCTTTCATCCCAGTGTTGTAGCTGATGATGTCAATGTCTACGTTAGCCTCTCTTATCTCGCCGAGTAGCACTAATGCCTGCAACCAGTCCCCGTTGCTGGCGAACGCTCTAATTCCAGCGCCGTAGCTGATAATATTCGGTTCTAAACCCACATCCCGCAATTCGCCAAATAAACACAAGGCCGGCTGCCATTGCATGGCTCCGCCGCACGCGCTGATTGCAGCGCTATAGGTGACGATACTTGGCTCCAAGCTCGTCTTCCGAAGCTCGCCGAACAAAAGCAACGCTTCTTCCCAGTGGTTGCCCTTTTCGCATGCGCTAATCACAGCGTTAAAGCTGACCACGTCCCGTTCGAGCTCCACTTTGCACATTTCGTAGTGCAGCGACAGTGCCCGCTGCCACTGCTCCCCTTTCTCGCACGCGCTAATTCCAGCACTGTAAGACATGCAAGTTGGCTCCAATCCAACTCTGCGCACCTCGCTCAATAACCACATCGCGTGCTCCCATTGTCCACCTTTCTCAGTCGCGCTGATTGCAGCACTGTATGTGATGACATCTGGCTGCAGTTTGACATCCCACAGCTCACCGAGTAGAATCAATGCCTGCTGCCACTGCCCGTCTCCCACGCAAGCACTGATTCCAGCGTTGTAAGTGACTAGGGGGGACTCGTCGACAACACCCAACAACAAATCACCGTGCGCGTGGCGGTGAAATGGGCCCTCCTGATCCTTGGGCGTACTCCGGAAGCGAAAATAAAACCGAAACACAATGCATGGCCCAGGAAGTCCTGACCTGATTTACAAACAAACAGGGTATGATGAGGAAGACGAGAATGAGGAGGGAAGGGGAGAGAGGAAGCCCAAGCAAAACAATATGGTGTCCAGGACACCTGCTTCCCGTGAGGGGCCGCACCAGGAACGCGAAGGCGAGGAGGCTCGCGAAGAGAGTGCCCCTCCAGTCAGGCCTCCTCAGGATCTCGATCGCAATCTTCCTCGGACTGCTTTTTCCCCCCGTCTCGCCTCCTAGCTCGCCTAATTTCGCGCACCGCGTCACGCGATGCGCGACTACCTTCGTGCCCTCGCGTCACCCGCGCGGGCGCGACGCTAGTCGCGTTGCGCGCGTCGCGGCCCAGGTTGGAGCGGTCGCCCGTCTTCAAGGGGGCGACCTGCAGCAAAGACGCTGAAATCAGGACCGCCTTGAGTTTGGAAGAGGATCGCTGCTCCTCAGGTCATTCCATGGCTGGTCCTCGAGCACCCCTCGCGCACCCAGGCTAAGGGGCGTTGATCCTCATCTAGCGCTCCTTATGTTTCCGCAGCCCGACCGTGAGGGTCTTGGTTGCCGTGCCCTTCCAGCGCGGAGGGCGGGTAGCACTAGGTCGGGCAATCTTCAAACATAGTCAAACATTGAAAAAATCGTCCCCGGACTATTTTTTACTAGTTCCGAATGTATCTCCTGCAGAGGGACAGGCCCGACTCAAGGGCAGCACGGGGTTGACCTCGGCGCGTGTGCGGCGGAGCCCTCGGGCGCACCGCGCCCCGAAGTGCTGCTCCGCCTGCGGCCCCCGAGTGGAAGGGCGCGAGCGCGGGTCTCCTGTCGCCGCCGCCGCCACCGCCGCTGCCGTGGTCGTCGTCGTCGTCGTCGTCGCCGTCATCGCCACCGCCACCGCCACCGCCACCGCCGCCGCCGTCACCGTCGTCGTCGTCGCCGTTACCGCCTCCGCAGCCGTCGTCGTCATCGCCGACGTCGCCGACGTCGTCGTCGACGTCGTCGTCATCGTTGTCAGCGCGGCCGTCGCCGCCGCCGCCGCCGCCGTCGTCGTCGTCGTCGTCGTTATTGTCGTCGTCCCCGTCGTCGTTGTCGTCGTCGTCGCCGCAACCGCCGCCGCCGTCGTTGTCGTACACGTGGTGGCACCTGTGGGAGTGATCGCGGTAGTGTGGGTAGCTTCAATTATGAACGTATATATATATATATATGTATATACCAGAGGCGGTGGCAGAACCACTGGAGGTTGCCTTATCAAAGGGAATGGGAAAAAACAATCATCAGTCCTTCTCGTGAAAATGGTCGTAGTAACAGTAGTAGTAGTAGTAGTAGTAGTAGTAGTAGTAGTAGTAGTAATAGTAGTAGTAGTAGTAGTAGTAGTAGTCGTAGTAGTAGTAGTAGTAGTAGTAGTAGTAGTAGTAGTACTAGTAGTAGTAGTAGTAGTAGCAGTAGTAGTAGTAGTAGTAGTAGTAGTAGTAGTAGTAGTAGTAGTAGTAGTAGTAGTATAGTAGTCGTCGTCGTCGTAGTAGTAGCAGTAGTAGTAGAGTAGTAGTAGTAGTAGTAGTAGTAGTAGTAGTAGTAGTAGTAGTAGTAGTAGTAGTAGTAGTAGTAGTAGTAGTAGTAGTACAAGTACTAGTAGTAGTAGTAGTAGTAGTAGTAGTAGTCGTAGTAGTAGTAGTAGTAGTAGTAGTAGTAGTAGTGTCAGTAGTAGTAGTCTAGTAGTAGTAGTAGTAGTAGTAGTAGTAGTAGTAATAGTAGTAGTAGTAGTAGTAGTAGTAGTAGTAGTGGTCGTAGTAGTAGTAGTAGTCGTAGTAGTAGTAGTAGTAGTAGTAGTAGTAGTAGTAATAGTAGTAGTAGTAGTAAAAATAGTAGTAGTCGTAGTAGTAGTAGTCGTCGTCGTCGTCGTAGTAGGAGTAGTAGTAGTAGTAGTAGTAGTAGTGGTAGTAGTATGAGTAGTAGTAGGAGTAGTAGTAGTAGTAGTAGTAGTAGTAGTAGTAGTAGTGGTAGTAGTAGTAGTAGTAGGTCGTCGCCAAAACTACCCAGAAACAAAACCAAACCCCGTCCAAAAATAAGCCAGACTTCCCGTCAAAGCAATCCAGACCGCCCCAAGAAAAACCAAACCACGCCCAAGAGTAAGCCAGGCCGACCGTCACAGCAAGGCAAACCACCCACAAGTAGACGAGACCACGGCCAAAAGAAAACCAGACCATTCATCGAAGCAGGCCGGACCACCCCTAAATAAACAAGACCCCGCTCAGCCGCAAGCCAGACTACCCGTCGCAGAAGGCCGGACCACCTAAAAGTAGACCAGAACCCGTCCAAAAATAAGCCAGACCACCTCCTAAACCACTCCAGTAGGCCCCAAAGTAGGCCAAACCCTGCCCAAAAGTAAGCCAGACCACCCGCCACAGCAGGCCAGACCACCCACAAGTCGACCAGACCCCGTCCGAAAGCAAGCCATATCACCCAGAAGTAGACCAAACCCCGTCCAAAAGTAAGCCAGACCACCCGTCAAAGCAACCCAGACCGCCAAAGACCAGACCCTGCCCAACAGCAAGACAGACCACCCACCACAGCAGGCCAGGCCACGCAAAAAAATGCCAGACCCCGCCCAAAGGTGAACCAGACCACCCATCGAAGCAGGCCGGACCATCCAAAAGCAGACAAGACCCCGCCCAGCCGCAAGACAGACCACCCGTCGCAGCAGGCCACACCACCCAGACGTAGACCAGACCCCGTCCAAAAGTAACCCAGACCACCCTTCAAAGCCTTCCAGACCACTCAGAAGTAGACCAGACCACGCCCAAAAGCAAACCAGACCACCGGCCGAGCCAGGCCACCAAAAAATACACCAGCCCCCGACCAAACAGAACACCAATCAAGTCACGTCAGGCCTTGTCAGGCCACCCAAAAGTAGACCAGGCCCGGTCCAACAATAAACCAATCTACCCATCAAAGTGCAACGGCCCCCTTGCCGGGCCATCAGGCTGCGAGGATGAGAATTGCAGCTCCCTGTTCCAGTTGCAGCTTCCAGTTTCCACTGTTACAGTCCTGCGTTCTGTTTCCTTACTGCGAATTGTTGCTGAACGCGCGAGGGGGGGGCTGGTCCAAAAAGCGTCCTCATTAGCACCCCCGAATCGCGTGCTTTGAATTCCTGGGGGATCGTGGGACATTTCAAAATACATGAGACTCGCGCCCCCGAAGCCATAATCCTTCGTAAATTATGAAATATTCGCGTTCCCGAAGCCATAAACATTTGTAAATTACCATATTCGCGCCGCCGAAGCCAGAACCGCTTGTAAATGATGTGGGATTCGCGTCCCCGAAGCCCTACAACTTTGTCAATTACAGAAAATACTCGCGCCCCAGAAGCCATAAACCTTAGCAAATTACTTGTAATTCGCGTCCCCGAAGCCATCAACACATTCAAAGTACACAAGATTCGTGTCCCGGAGACTGTGAAACATAACATGTTACAAAATATGTGCGTCCCCGGGGCCATAAACCTCAATAGATGACACAATAATTGCGTCCCCGAAGCCGTACACCGTTGCAAATTACCTTGCATTTGCGTTCCCGAAACCGTAAACCGTAGTCAATTACACAATATTTGCATACCCGAGGCCATTCGCCCATGTAAATTCCATCATATTCGCGACCCCGAGGCCATAATCCTTTGTAATGTATACGACATGTGCGTCCCTGAGACCACACACCCTTATAAGATATACCATATTCGCGTCCCCGAAGCCATGAACACATTTAAACAATAGCCGCGTCCCCGTATACCATATTCGCGCCCCCGCAACCATAAAACCATGCGAAATACGCAACGTTTCGCGCCCCCGAAACCATAAACCTTCGAACATCATTGAATATTCGCGTCCCCAGAACCATAAACCTTTATGTAAATTATGCAATGCTTGCGTCCCCGAGGCTGCAAGCCCTTGCAATTTACACCATATTCGCGTCCTCGAGGCCGTAAACCCTTGTAAATTATACAACATTTGCGCCCCCGAGGCCAAGACCCTTGTACATTATGCCGTATGTGCAATTACGCAGTATTCGTGTCCCCGAAACCACAAACCATAATACAATAAATTACGTAATGCTCGCGCCACAGAAGCCATAAACCCTCGTGAATAAATATTGGCCCTCGCGCGAAGTCCCGACATTGCTTCGCGTCAGCGTCCAGACATGCCCGCCACAGCTCTGGCAAGTCCCATTCTAAAGGAGGAGGGTCGGCGGCATGGGGGCGAAGCCCTTACGGATATATAAGCCATACCCCGCCAAAAAGCACTCGAGACCAACCAGAAGTGAACCATACGCTGTGGTACATGACTGCAGTGATGAGGATGATAGCGACGATCTCAACGATCGCGATGGGGGTGGCGGCGACGACGATGGTGCCGGGGAGGCAATAAGAATGATGACGATGATGACGATGAGAATCATGGTGATGATGATGATGATACTGGTAATGCTGATGATGAACGTGAAGATGGTGGTGATGATGATTACGAGTATGATGATGATGATGTTGAAGACGACGATGATTATGATGATGGTAGTGCTGGTGATGATGAGGATTCGGTTGATTATGATGACCATGCTGATGGTGATGGTGATGATGGCGATGGCGATGGCGGCGATGATAATGATGATGATGGTGGTGGTGGTGATGATGATGAAGATGATCATGCTGATTATGATGACTGTGATGCTACTGGTGATGGTGATAGTGATAATGGTAATGATCATGCTGCTGATGGTGGTGATGCTGGTGGTGATGGTAATGGTGGTGATGATGATGATGACGTTGATGTTGTTGTTGGTGATGACGCTGCTGCTGCTGATAATGATGCTGATGATGCTGATTACGATGATGATGAT